GCATCCATTCCCCATCCCCTATTCATCTATCCACCTGTCCATCATCTGCCCACTTTTCCCTCCATCACCTGTCTACCCAACTGGCTGCAAATATAAAAGACCCCATGTTCTCAGTGACCAAAACGCTCTGCAGGAAGTATCTGCGCGTGTCGTGAGGATACCAGGCTTGATTCGCAAGGCCCCCAGAACAGGGCCGTCTCCTGCACTCAGGCAGCTAGATGTTGCGGTGCCACGTGCCCTCACCGCGCTGGGCCAACCCGATGGAGCTATGCTCCGCGCTCCCCTTGTCCCCTGCTTCTCTGATTCCTCCATCACCTCCTCAGCAGCATGGATTGCCCACTCTGTGCCCGGCGCACAGTGTACAGCAATGAGGAGAAGTGGGGATGCACACGCAGAAGGTGAGCAGGGGAAGGGCCTTTCCTCAGAGCGGCCCAGCAGGCTGACTCCTCCCTCCAGGCTGTGGAGGAGCCAGGTCACTCCTCTGCCACAGAGGGCAACAGGGCGAGCTGCACGCAGGAAGTGTTCAGGTGTCCCCTGACAACATGCCCCTCTGGGGGCCCCACGTGACAGGCCCCAGGTGGGGTGGCCGCCGGCTGTCCTTTGCGCTGCTGCCCCCAGGGCACCCCTCTCATGCCCTGGTGCTCCTCCTGCCCGGGTCACCAGCTCCTCCACGTACCAAACAATCTGAACGGCAGCCTCCGCCTCATTCACTGTTAGCCCCCTTTCCGCTCTCAGAGGACGCCACCAACCCTTGGAGGTGCCAACGATTCACACGTGAGTGTCTTTTGGAGCTGGGTGAGGCGCAGTTTGCGTCTTCCGCGAGGGACAACATCCTGAAACTGTTCTCACCACTTTCCCAAATTTTAAGTCCCCCTGGGTGCAGGAAATATGTATTTTCCTCTCTGTTTTTGGTTTCTCACCAGAATTTAGCGCAGCATGTTGAACACTGCAAACGTTCAAAAATAATGTGCAGGGCGTGTGAGGGGCTGAGATGGTTACTGCCTGCAGAGCCCTGGCTGCCAGGAAAGGGCTCAGGGCCATCTTTCCAGTAATTCCGAGGCTGCAGGAAACACTTTGGTCAATAATAATAAAGGCTAATTTTTTTAGTGATTCTTGGATGGATGGCTGTACTCCGAGGGACAATGATTCCTATGAATTTGCAGATAAACCTGTGGGCTAGACCCCCGCGGCGGGTCAGAGGCACTGGGAGGGCGGGGTCTGAGCGCCGATGTGCGGCCTGCCGTGTGCGGGCACACGCTGCAGGCCGTGCGCGGGTCTTTCTCTGCGCTCAGCGGGGCCGACTGCAGGGCGGGGGGCAAAGGGGTCCCCTGGTTGGTGTGCTCAGCCTTGGTTGGGTGAATGCATCGGTGCAGGTCGGGTTTAATTTTCTCACCCTTAATTTTGCCAGCAGCCATTCTCTGGTACTGAGAGGGATTGAGGGGTTTTAATTCAGGACGGCCAAGGAGGCTGAGGCTGATCTGAGGTTTTGTGCACTTTCGGTCACCCCGTGGTCACCCACAGCCATGGAGGCGGGGTGGGGCCGGGAGGTACCGCTGGGCCCTCTAGGAGTGTGAGAATAGAGGGGGCACCTCTGGGAAGTGGAGAGGCCGTGGGGGCCTGGTCCTCCGCAGGAGGAGGTTGTGGGGCTCAGGCCGCGCGGAGCTGGAGTGTCAGCGTCCACCGCGCTGGCGGGAGGGAAGGGTGTTGTAGGTGTGGAGGCGCAGGAACGGGAAGCCCGCCTGGGTGTGTGGGGCAGTGAGGCCGAAGCC